GATGGACTCTATTAAGGAGGTCATGGGTATGGGGTTGAAGGAATTAAGTGGAGCAGTCAAGGACAGAGTGTCATGGAGATGTCCCATTCATAGGGTCGCCATGAGTCAAGAACGACTTGAGGGCAGTTAACAATAATTTAACTGGCTTTTTTTCCCTTGTGATCTGCAAAATTAGCGGGAGCAACTTAGTGTTGAGTAGCTGGTCTTTGCCCAGACCACCTCCTCAGTGTCTCCCTGGTGTCACACCTGAGCCCTGAGGATAACCCATAATTGGATTGCTCCCCGTCTGGCCCACATCTGGAACAACAACTTACAATTTTCCCACTCAACTTACGGGACTTCAGTGAAGGTTTATATCTCAGGTTAACCCCAAGGAAAGTCTCTTTCCCTACCCCTTTAGTCACATGACATAAAGAGGCAGTTCAAGAGACCTAACCTTCTCCCAAAGAGGGTGCCATAAGGTGCACACCTAAATGCTATCTCTCCTCCAACAACAGCCAAGTGACTGCACATTTATGACAACATTCAAGCCAATTATCCATGTTCTTAAACAACAGTATGGGGTAGGCAAAAAACCTTTGAAAGAGGAGAAAATTCCTACCAGCCCTGAAGCAACAACTAAACTCACACTGCTGGAGAGGTGGGAGGGTGGGTTAATGCTTCAAGCAAAGAGGGAGAAGGGGGGTAATGTTTTATATGTGCTTGGCTCTGCTTCTTCCCTCCTCTGTCATGGTGTGAGTGTGCAACAATGATTTAATTTACTGGCCTCTTCTCCCAAGAGGCCAGCAAAGCATGTCCCTGAGATCATGTTACACTGATCCAGGGATGTGGCTTTCAATGTTGTTTATTTTCAAATCCTGAAATGTTCTTTGTTGGGAAAAAATAAAGACCTAAATCCAATTGCTAGTTTTGACCAGCATAGACCTATGAGCTCAATGGAGTTTATACAAAAGTGTTATTATCCAGTAGTTGATTCACCAAATCTACCCTAGCTGAGACTAGCAAGTGGATTTAGGCCACAGACTGAGGGAGAGTACAAAGGCTAATCCTTGCACAATGGCACCTGAAGCAAGAACGTCCCAGCTTTGTAAATCTATCAATGGAAAATTTATTACCATTACTTTTTATATAAATTATGGATTTGATATAAATTATGGAAATTTGATATAAATACTCAAATTTTATATCAAAATTTTATATAAAATTGATATGGAAATAGATCTTAATTCTAAATACACTCATCAGCAATCTTTCTTGAAAGGATGTTCAGAAGAAAGTGTTTTGATCACAGTCACAAATTTTTCCAGGAATTGGCTTTGTGCTGAAGTGGAAGACTGCTTGGTCCTATTTATCAACCAAAGTAATAGTTTTGTAGCAACCAGAAAGTACTTGAGAGAGCCAGATGTGCTCCAAACTCCTAGAAACTCCTAGAAGACAATTTGCTATTTCAGAATTTTAACTTCTTCCTACTTATTTGAGACTGGAGGATTTTGGCATCTTGGTCTATTAATTAACAGCCTTTTGCATGGGCTTCATTAATTTACAGTTAAAATAAAATTCAAACATATACTTGCAGAGATTCCTGTAAAATAGCTCTCATCTGGTGTAAGTTTCTATCTGATCAATACTGAAATTAGACTAAGTAAGAAACACTGTTTCTACTATTTCTGGCAATAATCAAAGGCTTATAATTATAAATTTTTTAGACTGTAAAGTGTGCCTATTTTGGAATTGAAATATAGATTATTACCACCTCATGCTGCTATAATTATAATTATTACTGTTGGTTTCAACAAGTGGACTTGAAGTTTTATAGTTGCAAGAGTTATCTATAGTTATAAATCTGCAGAGAAAAGTAAACAGCTAGAACTGGACTATTGCAGTTCTGTTACTGCTACAAAAGTCTTTCCAAGGCTCAGCTGCAGGATAGTGGTAAGTTATGAACTGTTTTAAAATCTTCCACCACCTAAATGCAATATAGCTCTTGTCCATATACATGAGGCATTTGAGAAAGTGACAATAAAGTAGCTGGCACACTACAGTTAAAGAATGCCATTATTTTCCAATATGCCTAGTGTGACATGCATTTGGTGAATCGCTTCTGACCATGTGGTAGCAATGCTGGTTAAGTGTGTACATAGTGATTGTTGAATCCAATAACTAGTGGTAATTCATTATGAGATTGGTTTGTCTCAGCCACAGACAACAAATGCTCACATCTCTTGGCATAAAGACTGATACTTTTTCACTGTGTTGGGATAAAGAAAACTTTTTCAACCTGAAGAAGCCTTTTCAACCTGGATAGAACAGTGTTCTGTGCAATCATGCTGGCTACATGATCACAGAGTAGTCTCTGACAACACTGGCTCTTTGGCTTAGTAATGGAGATGAGCACTACTCCCTATAGTCAGACACAACTTGACAACCTTGTCAGTGGGGAATACCTTTAGCTTTAGAATTCCTAGAGTGGTATGTATTTAAATTTAACTGTGGAGAAAATGACAACCCACACATGCTCTTGTTACACACATATGACCTTTACATGAATATTCACATTCATACATATATATGAATGTATGTGCAATATTTGATATTTCTAATTTATTGCCTTCTTTGTATTATTATGTATTTTATTATTTGTAGAATGTATGCCATCGGCAGGCTTTTTTTTCTATTTTTATGTATTTTATTGACTGTATGTACAGTGCTATGTAAATCTACAGTGCTATATAAATAAATTGTAATAATAATAATAATAATAATAATAATAATAATAATAATAATGCACACACATACTGATGTACATCATCTCTTGCATGCACAGCATCATCTTCACCACCATGTAATGGGGGAAGGGGGAGATCATGGGAATGAGAATACTCTTTCCCATGTTCATGAAGAAATGTGGAAGCCAAATGAGCTGGTGTGTAAGCAAGCAACTGGGACTAGGAGCTCAAGGGAACTCAGCTTACTTCTTTCCCTTCCATAATAAAAGCAGTAGATTATGTCAACTAACATGATAGTAAGTAGTCCAGAAAGTAGTTATTTTCCTGATAGCTGCAACAGCTCTGCCACATCTTGGTAGATTGCTAATTTATACCATATACACAATGCATTATTTAGGTCTCATTTACAGGTTAACAGATCTTTTAATTTTATTCAATGCACTATTCAAAAGCCAAATTTTACCACATAAAACATTATTATGGTAGTTATATATTTATACAACAGTTATAAAGGTTTCACTCAGAATATACTGTTTCTTCACCTGGCTTAGCTGGAAGATAACTGAAGACAACCCAATATTTAGTGGAATCAGAAAACAGTAGAGTTTATCACATTCACAGTTAAAACATCTTACCTGAGCTGGCTTAAAATTTAAAATGGGCAGCAACCTGATTTTATTATAAGGATTTAGCCACCAAATTTGCCACCTGGGTCTAGCCCAGGTCCATCCCCACTTGCAGGAGTGCTCAGTGCACCTCGGCTAAATCCTTGTGATAAGATCAGGATGCCACATGTTTTAAATTTTAAGCTGGCTCAGGTAAGACATTTTAATTGTAAATGCAATAAGCTTCAGTAACAGAATGGAATATAGAGAAGGGTCCTTATAGAGAATATAGAGAAGTGTAGCAGAATATATGCTCTGCATGCAGACTCAGTTCACAGTCTGAGATAGGTCTCAAAAAGGCTCCTTTTGGAATACTGGAGAGATACTTTTCATGATGGATAGATAGATCGTATAACCATGTATAAAGTTTCCATGAGCCAGTGTGGTATAGTGGTTTGAGTGTTGGACTATAACTCTGAAGACCAGGGTTCAAATCCCCAATCAGTCATGGAAAGCCACTGGTTGATCTTGGGCAAGTCACACTGTCTCAGCCCCACAGGAAGGCATAGGAAAACCACCTCTGAACAGATCTTTCTAAGAAAATCCTGTGATAGATTCACCACACAGTTGAAATAAATTGGAAATGATTTGAGGGCACATATAACAACAACAGTAATAAAACTTCTCATGTTCCTGAGATAATCAATTCATTCCTTGAATGAACAACTGCCATTTTTCTTGTACATATATTTGCAGTCAAATACATACTAGCTTGTATATAAAAGGCTGGTGCAAGCATACACTCAAGTATCCTTTATTCTTTTCCATCATCAACAATGATTTAATTAGAATTGAATTAGAAATGCTGTTTTTAATTGAAACTGAGGGGTGGAGAATTTCAAATTGAAGCCCTATAGTATTTTTGGTTTTAGATATCAACTGCCCTTCTCCACTGCTCCACACCCACCACCTTTTTTCAATTTGTCTTCTGTAGTTGCACCACAAATCCAACTGTACTTAGAGTGGCATTCCAGTGTTGTCATTTTTCTCTCAGTCTCTAGACAGCACACCAGGGTTTTTTTCCCCCTCAGCCTGAAGCCAGCTTTGGCAGACTCTGGAAGTGGTTGCTTTTTATATCTAGGATCTGCTAACATTCTTGTTTGTATCCATCTCCATTCTCTTTACATCATTGATGCCAATATATGTTGTGGTTGCCATTGCTAGTAGAAATTAGGGGTATAATTCTTCACCAGTTTTTGTCCTGGGGAAAAAAACAATGAGTAATTTTAGTCATTTTCTCCCCAGCATAAGAAAGTTTTCTAAAAGCATGCAGTTTTCAAAGCCTACTTGCAATGTGGGACTTATTCTGCACAAGATTGGCACATGGTTGTTTTGTACAGAAAACAATTTGTTTCCTGATGCTGTTTCCTGAACAGAAAATTGTGTTTTCTGCAGAAAACAACCATATGCATTTTTTGCACAGAATAACAGAATTTATTGATAACATAAGAAACAGATTTGTACTACTAAGCATAATAGTTAAAGAACCAGAGGAACTATGGTCTGAAGCCAGGGACATAATAAAAGAAGAATGCAGACAGACACTTTCAAGAAACAAAAAAGAGAAAAAAACATGGATGACAGAAAAAATGCTACAAGCAATAAAAAAAGAAGAAAAACAAAAGAGATATAGGAACAAACTAAGAATTATGAATGTAACAGTACAACGGCATGTGCAGAAAGATAAAGAAAATTACTACAACAACCAATGCAGAGAAATAAAAGATAACAACAAAAAAGGAAGAACAATAGATTTATTTCAGAAGACCCGGGAAATCAAAAAAAAAAAATTCAAACCAAGGACTGGGATGATGTATGACAATAAAAATAACATAATTCAAGAGGAGGAAGGAATTAAAAAATGTTGAATGCAATACACAGAAGAATTATACAAAAGAAATGACAAAATGAAGGACACATGGAATAAAGAGCCATATGGAGATTAACTTCAAATTCTAAAAAGTGAGGTGGAAATAGAGAAAAACAAATTACCAGGAACAGATGATATTCCATTTGTACTGCTGCAATCCACATTGACAGAATCAACTCTAGTGCTAATCAACATATGTCAACAGATATGGAAAACAAAAGCATGGACAATAGATTGGAAGCGATCAATATACATCCCCATCAACAAAGAGGGAGACACAAGAGACTGTAGCAACTATAGGACCATAGCACTGATCCCCCATGTAAGCAAAATCATGCTCAAAATTCTGCAACATTGACTCCATATATGGAAAGAGACATTCCAGAGGTCCAAGCAGGGTTCAGGAAAGGAAGACATGGGAGGGCCAGCACATTTGATAGTCCTGATGAGGAATCTGTATTCGGGACAAGAGGCTATTGTTATAACAAAATATGGAGAAACAGAATGGGTCCTGATTGGCAAATGGATCAGATAATGCTGCATACTTTCACCCTATCTGTTCAACTTGTATACAGAACATATTATAAGAAAAACAGGCTTGGACAAAGAAGACGGAGGAGTGAAAATAGGAGGCAGGAATATCAACAATTTAAGATATGCAGATGACACCATAATACTAGCAGAAAACGTCACAGATCTGGAACACCTACTAAGGAAGATGAAAGAAGATAGTGTAAAGGCAGGCTTAATGCTGAACATAAAGAAAACAAAAATAATGACCACTGAGGACCTTCATAAGTTCAACCTAGACAATGAAGAAATAGAAATAGTAAAAGAATCCCTATACCTGGGATCAAACATTGATAGAAATGGGATCTGAAATCAGAAGAAAACTAAAAATGGAGAGGGTGGCTATGAAAGAACTAGAAAAGATTCTAAAATGCAAAGATATACAACTCAGCACAAAAGTTAGAATCATACAAGCCATTATATTCCCTATTATGGATGTGAGAGCTGGACAGGTAAGAAAGATTATAGGAAGAAAATCAATTTCTTTGAGATGTGGTGCTGGAGAAGAGTGCTGAGAATTCCTTGGACAGCCAAAAGGACAAACAAGCAGATCAAGCCAGAAACCGATGAAAAATGAACTGGACATAGCTCCCGCTTTGGAAGAGACCCTTAAGGTCATACAGTAGATGAAAAACTGCAAGGCAGCTAGGATTCCAAACCTGAAGTTTGGAAACACGGAGTTCATGTACTCCATGCTAAATTCCATGAACTCCATGTGTGTTTCTGGGAAAAGGGGGAACTGCCATCAGATCTTCGAGATGCAGTCATCATCACCCTGTACAAGAAAAAAGGAGCAAAATCTGATTGCTCAAACTATCGAGGTATAACACTGCTCTCTATTGCTGGAAAAATCCTTGCAAGGATACTCCTGAACAGATTAGTTCCTGCTATTGTAGAAGAACTCCTTCTTGAAAGCCAGTGTGGCTTCAGAGCCAATAGGAGTACTACAGATATGGAATTTGCCCTTAGACAACTGCAAGAAAAATGTAGAGAGCAGAACAAGGGACTGTATGTAACATTTGTTGATCTCACCAAAGCCATTGACACTGTGAGTAGAAAAGGTCTATGGCAGATCCTGGAAAGACTAGGATGTCCCCCCAAATTCCTCAAAATGATTATCTTGCTACATGAGGGCCAGCAACATGAGGGCCAGCTACATGAGGGCCAGCAAAGTCAAATACAGCAATGCTCTTTCAGAGCCCTTTCTAATAACTAATGGAGTGAAGTAAGGTTGTGTTCTTGCTCCAACTTTATTTACAATCTTCTTCAGCATGATGCCCCAAAGGGCTACAGCAGAGCTCGAAGAAGAAGACGGCATCTATATATGTTACTGTGTTGATGGTAGCTTGTTTAACTTAAGCCGTCTGAGGGCTCACACTAAGACTCTAAACTATCTAGTCCGTGAGCTGCTCTTCGCTGACGATGCTGCCCTTGTTGCCCACACAGAAGCAGCTCTGCAGCGCCTAACATCTTGCTTCACAACAGCTGCAGAGCTGTTTGGGCTGGAAGTCAACCTGAAGAAAACGGAAGTTCTCTACCAGCCTGCATCACAGGACAAACACCACCATCCCCACATTGCTGTAGGCAAATCTGTGCTTAAGTCCATTCAGCAGTTCACCTACCTGGGAAGCATCATCTCCTCAGATGCCAAGATTGACAGAGCGATCGATCATAGATTAGCAAAGGCATATAGTGCATTTGGAAGACTTTACAAAAGAATCTGGAGTAACAAACACCTGAGGCAGAGCACAAAAATCAGTATGTATAGAGCCATTGTACTGTCTATTCTCCTTTACGGGTCTGAAACATCGGTCACCTATCGCCAACACTTACAACTCCTCGAACGCTTTCATCAGCGCTGTATACGCACAATCCTAAATATATACTGGACTGACTATGTGACGAATGTTGCTGTCCTTGAGCAAGCAGGGATCACCAGCATTGAGGCCATACTACTGAAAACTCAGCTATGTTGGGCAGGGCATGTTTCTAGGATGGAGGACCATCACCTCCCAAAAATAGTACTCTACGGTGAACTCACCATGGGTCAGCATAAGAGGAGCACTCCAAAAAAGCAATACTAGGACTCCCTGAAACAACATCTCAGGCTCGGCCAAATTGATTACCAACAATGGTCCACCCTGGCCTCACATCGGGAGGCATGGAGATGCACTATCCACAATGCTGCAGCCTTATTTGAGAAGTCACGCCGAACAAGTCTCGAAGAGAAACGACAACGTAGAAAGAATCACGACCCAGAAACATCACCCAAGGAGACCTTCTGCTGTGCTTTCTGCAACCAGACTTGTTTATCTCGGATTGGCTTTTTTAGTCATCAGTGCACTTGCAGAAAGCGTGGGATGAGTCCTTCCAGATTCTTCATTTGTGAAGAAAAGCCAGAGAGAGAGAGAGATGTATGGATGTGAGAGCTGGACAGGTAAGAAAGATTATAGGAAGAAAATCAATTTCTTTGATATGTGGTGCTGGAGAAGAGTGCTGAGAATTCCTTGGACAGCCAAAAGGACAAACAAGTGAGTCCTAGAGCAGATCAAGCCAGAAACCTTCCTAGAAGCCAAGATTACCAAACTAAGGCTGTCATACTTTGGACATATCATGAGAAGAGGAGACTCTTTGGAAAAAACAATAATGCTGGGGAAGGTGGAGGGAAGTAGGAAGAGAAGAGGGCCACATGCTAGATGAATGGATTCTATTAAGGATGTCAAGGGTATGGGGTTGCAAGATTTAAGTAGAGCAGTGGAGGACAAGAGTATCTTGGAGATGTCTCAACCATAGGGTTACCATGAGTTGAGGTCAACTGAAGGGCAGTTAACAACAAAAAAAGTGCTAAACTGAACATTTCATCAGTACTGGGTTCTTCTTGTCATGGTCTGGACCATTTTTTGAATATTTTTGAATATTATTTCCATCCCTGGTAGAAACCATGTAATAAGTGGTTGCCTATAACCCAGCTCTTATCTGCTGAAGCTTAGCTCTCCAAATACTGCTGC